TGAACACGCAAGGAAACCATAATACGCAAAGGCACGCGGCACGCGTTCGCCTTCTCGACTTAATTAACCCGCATTCCCCGCTGGTTGGATTGTGCAAACTTTTCCCCGCGATCGCCACGTGGGAAACGTGGTTTTTCGCGATCTGTATCGGCACGACGGCGACTCGACTGTCAGGCCGATTCCTGCTGATTTTCGCCCGCCTCTGCGACTCTATTATCGTCGTTATTTATGGCGGTTCTTTCTATACCGGTGGGGAAAAAGTAGTCGGTATCGATGTTAGGCGCGGCGCGGAACGCGATAACGGATACAACGCCTGATGGAAATGTTCGACGTCTGTGTGTGTGCGTGTGCGTGAAACGGCTCGACGGTTTTACAGCGAATTAACGGGTGTAATGAATTCCTAAATGACTCGGCTGATTCGAAGATAACGTCTGCGCTAGGTGTTGGGTTGTTGATTGATACTGTTGCGTTTATGGGACTCGTGGTGGCGGGAATGCAACAGTTCACCCGTTACTCTCGTCTTTTCAAACTGCAGTCTGATTTTTCACGCGGTGAACTTGCCCAGGAATTCGTGAAGCAGGGTACCTTTACTGGGTGAGGTAATCGGTTGCCGGAGTGGATGATTTATCCGTTTATTTTGCATTCCGAAAAGTAATTGCATTTTTTTTTTTTTCTAACCTGTATCTCATTTTTTAAACGAGCTCGACGAGCGGCGACGTCGATTACAAAAGAAGAAAGAAGAAAATAAAATAGCGGGACGTATATTACACGTTCAGTTGTTAAGAATCAAGCAAAGCAAGCGGTCTGCATTAAACATCTCGTTCGTTCATAGTAATTGTGGTTTCTTGTTTTCAATTCACATAATATATTTGTTAAGAGAATAAACCTCCACGTAAATTGGTGATCTCCGTGTGAATTCGCGCAGATAAATATATTACAAAGAAATCAACCAAGGAAAGAACCATCTTTCTTCAAAAATGTGGCCAACTTCATTTTAAATCGCAAATTCGCCATGTGATCTGATACCTGATTGTTCAAGTTTCTTTTAAAAAAGAAAGAAAAATCGGATTTTGCTGTATTATTTTTCTAAAAGGGAAAAGAAAAACGCTGTGCAAACTCGCTGTAAAAAAAATATCTGACGTGCATTGCGAAGTCTTAGAGCTACGGCAGCGTCAGAATTGATTCGTTATTGATGAGGATATCAGATCGTGAACTTGGAACTTTGTTCTGATCTCTCGAGAGATCATCGTAGAAGGTAATCGAACAAATTGGTTAATAACTAATTGGTTAATAACTAATTAAAGAATTCTCGTTTCTCGTAAGGAAAGTGGAGTTATTTTTTGGAATATTGTTGTAATCTTCAGTTGAGTTTGGAATACTGTGATACCAACAGCTAGAGAGATATCGAGCGGCAATGTGTTTTCACACGTGCATGATTCGAATTGCAACTGCAGTATCTCACTTGAACGACGAACTAATTTCTCCCTAAACTTTTCTAATAAACGTTCGCGTATTTCTGAGACAGTGGCGAGAAGATTTTGACGATTCTCGAATTACAAGGACATTCAGCAGTCTTGAAGTTTCGATCCATCTCCAAGGAATTCAATT